AGCTAGAGTACAACTGAGAACCTGGAAGCCGTAAACGGCCATTTCGTTCTAGTATGGAACAAAATCTAGAGATTAAACGTTTGAGCGTTAGACCGAAGGTCATGGGTTCTAGTTTCATATGCGGATCTTGGATGAGCATTGTTGAGAAGTGACACACTAGGATAAAACAAACATCCAATTATTCCAGGTTTTCAATGGTGGTCTAGCTTAGATCGACTCATGAATTCAACCATTAAAATTGCTACAATCTCCACAAACCCTCATTCTGATTAGAATGTTATTTGGTATACCTATTCACAAACGTATTAAAATAATTAGTTTTTCTACCCGAATTAATCTTGACGATTACTTTTTGAAAAAAACTGCTGAGATAGTAAATAAGAGTTTTATAGATCATTGATTATACGCGTGATGTTACATATAAACTAAGTTCTAAACTTTTAATGTGATAATCAAACAAGAATTCTAGAAAAAAATCAGAACACAAAAATTACTGTTTACTACTTGAACTGAACTATAATATTATCAGTTTTGAATTTGTTTTAAATTTGAAGACATGTTTATTATAAGTGAAATCCTCATAATAGATAACTATCGAAAACCGGGAGGCAATCTGCATCTTAGAATGAAATTTATAAGGATATGGTATTTCTCGAGACTATTCAGGTTTCATAGTTTATATCATTGATTAATAGTCATAAGCTCAGTAATCTCTATAGGTGAATTGTTCGCTGCCAGATCATGATGAATCATTAGTGGATATTATGGAGGAGTACTTCATTTAAATGAAACAACTGTTTAGTGCATTGTAGTTTTTGAGTAATTGATCAACTCAAATCAATCTATAATGTAAACTATTATTATTATTTTAACACATAGGTATTAGTACAAGGAAGCACCAAATACATATGCGCCACACGAATCTCATTTGATTTGTGTGAGGGCTGTGATACTGCCCGGGTGCCCAGACCGAGGCAGGTGGTTTTCTTATGGGGCCACACCCCGAGCCTTTGACCTAAAGGTCTAGTCCACAAGGCAGTGGAGCATCGTGAGGAGATGCAGTCCCATGGAAGCCGGTGACCAGGAAATTGGTTCATACGCCATTTGTTCCTTCAGGATACTGGAGCCCATGTGCGCCATTGATTTGGGATCCGGTTATAGCGCCGGACGTTCACTTTTCGTCCTCTCATTTTCGTAAACAACACCCCCGCCACGAGAAGGCAGTGAGTAGGACTTCCCTGGCAGAGGCTATATACGCGTGGCCGTGTGAGAGTATTTCGAGAGCGAGAGCGGACTCTCCCCACTCTCGACCGTACCAGGGCATTTGGGGGCATAATGTAAACTATGAAAACTCAACAGTTTTTTATAAAAAAAATTCTCCGTTTTATCACGTTGAATCACGAAATAATATATCAATGATTAAATAAATTAATTGAAAATATGTTATTCAATATGACCAAATCATGAAAATTCAATTCACCAAATAAGATTTCATATATCATCAAAGGTTTCCGAAAACATCAATAAAAGTAGGATGTAAGAATGAGGTCATCCGAATCAACATTTAAACATCAATAACATACTTTATTATGTTCAGAAGGCGACCGGATTGAATATCTGGGTTAACTGTTCCTGTCATCTAAATATTTTAACAAGGTACCTGTCTTTTGTTTGCTTTAACACATCATTATATCTATTAATCGCATAACGTGTTTAGGCACGTTTATCAAACGTTTCCATCCTTTCACTGTACAAGTTACAAAAAAAGTACATTCAGAGACATTGTGGTGACTGACAATATGCATTGAAAAGAATGAACATTCGTTCGAATGCCAATTCATGAACTGCTAATTTCTAACTTGAAGCCACTCAATATTTATTATCAGGATTGATTGAAAAAATAAGAAACGGAAAGTTATTGAAATACTTTAGGTTGAAAATTTGATGAAACTATAATTTATGAACGAATCAATCAGATTTAAGACAGCAGATCTTGAAATTCGACGCGAAATTCATTCATTTATTTGGTTAAACATCATTTTAGCATTATAGCATATGTCAGTTTGTGATAAAAACACTAAATCTAATTCCTAAACCTTATGTTCAATCCTAATTTCTTACATTAATCTATAACTCATTTAACTTTATTAAGTAGGTGGACATTTTCAAGGTCATTTTAGAGTTACTCAAAGGTTATTCATAAATTATTGTCTCACCAAGAATTCTATATTATACCAAAAATATAATATTAAATGAACCCATTAATCACAATAATAAGCACTTTTGTAGAATGCTTAGGATATTTAAAATTTCAATGGTTAAGATCATGATTCATTTGAAGCTAGACCACCTTGGAAAACCTGGAAGCACTGGATGGCCGTTTCGTCCTAATGTGGGACTCCTCAGCAGTGCGCATCCACGACCTCGTCCCACGCGAGATTCGGACCCATGACCTACTGGTCTCGCGGGCGAGCACTTAACCACTAGACCACTGAGCCGGCCGGCATTCAATTGTGTTAATGTCTAACTTCAACTAATCCACGAAATTGAGCAACACAATCTCCACAGCTTCCAGGTTTTCCATGGTGGTCTAGCTTCAACTGACTCATGATCTTAACCATTGAAATTACTACAATCTCCACAAAACCCCTCCTGATATTTAAAATTGTTAGGGACAATTGATTTATATCCGTCATTATAGTATAAAAGTGATAATGTTAAAATGTATTAGATATTCCCACTTTTATATTTGAATATTACGTAACACTTAAGCTAGTCAGTTCTTTTTTAAATTGATTTTGTTGATAGTAATCTCCTAAAGAATTCATTATATTACTGATTTACTGAATTAATAATGATAATATCAATTGGCCGCTTGTTTGAATATCTGGATTGCCTGTTCCTGTCATCTATATATTTCAACAAATTATCTGTTTGTTTGTTTTAACACATCATAATGTTTATTAATCGCACAACTTATTAAGATACGTTTATAAAAAGCTTACAAGTTATAAAAAAGTACAACCAGCTACTCCATGGTGTCTATCAATATAAATTGAAAAGAATGTATATTATTTAGATATCGATGCCTGAACTGCTAATATCTAACTGGCGATCAATCAATATTTATCATCAGAATCGATGAAGAAATAAAAAACAGATACTTGTTGAAATACTTTGTGCTGGGAAATCTATATTGTACCAAATACACAACATTGAATAAAGCTTATAATATAATATTAATAGTAATATAAATAATAATAATAGGTGAGCTGATGAAGTATGCATAGTTCTTTCATATCAATATAACTGGCAATAATGATTCTCCTATAATTTCATTTCTTTAATAAAGGCTTTTTTTAAAGTGGGGATACATTTTCTATCAACCAATTGATAGATCTACAAAGTAACTATTAATCTGTATAAATTTGAACTTAGATTATTCATATTGCGTAATAATAATAATAATGATAAAAATAGTAATAATAACAATATCTAAAATAATAATACCAAAAAGAAACTGATAAAAAGCTTTAAATAACCGGAAAGTTTACTAAGATCATTATATTCTAATAGGTTTTGTGACTACTTTTACATAATACATTTGATTTGTATGGAATCAATACTGATTTGGGAATCATTACTGTTTAACTAAAACGGAGCATACATATTATGAAGTCATTTGAACAAATCATTTAAAACTAATTATCTTATTAATAGTTTATCAAATTATTATTATTATTATTATACATTATCCTATTTGGAACTCGTCAGCTTAAAAAGCTTGTGATTTAAGGCTATATCGAGGCAATCTGCAGATGATGTACATATGCCGACATGAGACTGATCAATTGTAATCTTAAATAATAATGGAAAGATACAATTAAAACAACACAAAGTGAATTTATAAATTTACATCACTAAACTTTTTCGAATTTTTCTATAATTTTAATGATTAATTTCATGAATCGATTTAAGCTAGATCACTATTGAAATACCTGTAAGTAGTGGACGGCCGTATTTTTCTGGTTTATGATTCCTCAGCAGTGCATAATCACAACCACACACACGAGATTCGAACCTTTAAACTCTTGAACCAGCATCCAACATTATTAATGTTTAACTTTAATCTATCCATGATTTTATACAACCTTTTATTTATCTAATAATTAATTATCCTTAACATAATAAAACTGAAATCTTTATCTTTATTAACTGTTGCTAACGATTATTGTATAAGAATGAAATGATTAATGAAAAATTAAGAACAATACTGTTAGTAGATTGAATTTTCAAACAATACAAATTATATATTATTTACATAGATATATAAGATTTATTTTTAAAAAATTTAATTGGTATTCAATGTTTCAATAATATATTCTACTCATTAAATCAATATTCAATAAACAAATCACTGAATGATCATTTGATTAAAAGTGTAAATTTAAATAGTTTCTACATAGAAACAATAAAACAAAAAAAGAAACTAACTGAAAAAAAAGTTTTTCAAAAAATAAACGAGTGGTGTTCTTTTTTTTAAGAAATTTTTTTTCTTTTTTCTTTGAAAAGATAAAAAGCTACTTTGTTTTAAATTATTCAATTTATATACATAAATAAATATAAACTAACCCAGTATAATAATGTAAAATATATATGTATATTAGTAGGTTTGTGTCTGTTTATGTTATAGTGTTATATCTGATAAGTTTATCTGCATAGTAACTAATGATAATCAAGAATTTCGAATGTTTCCGCAACAACAACACAAAAAAAAAATAAAAATAATTCGTTCAATCATTTGATTCATTTGAAGTAAAAAATTAGAAGATTAAATAATCTTACACATTACTAATGTGTTGTTAATGATGTTCATAGAAGATAATCAAAAATGGAAGCACTGAACAATTGATTGATTTAGGAGAGATTTCAAAAAGAGAAATTATTGATTTGTCTGTATCATTTAAAATAATAGAAAATCATGATTGTTTTTTCTAAATTTATAAACGATGCATATTTTCACTTAGATGATCATTACCATCAACAATGAATTTAACTGATTTCGTTGTACTGGTGTCTTCCTCCTCTTCTTTCTTCGTCTCGTTCTCCTTCTCCTGATCATTATCATGTTTTGATTTCATCTTTAAATCATCATTATCATTAATTTGTTTATTTTGTTCAGCTTTAATAAGTGCTTTCAATTTGCCGATATCATCATCCTCTTGTATTTCATTATGGTTTTCGTCAATTTCTTCATCATCTTCAGTTAAATAAGCTTTATTATGTGTTCCATTTAAATGATTATTAATATCTGAATCAATAGTTGATCGTTTTAAATGTTTTAAAGCAAGACTGCGTGATTTCATGACATCTAATAATGCTTCATCAAAATCTAATTGTCTTTTCTCTTTTGGTGCTATACTTGGTCTACGTGAATAACGTAATGCTTGTTTAACATCTGGTGTTATATTCATATCATTTGTTAATGTAGATAAACGTCTACGTGTTACATTATTATTATTATTATTAATAGTAGTACCATTTGATTCAACATCTTTTATTGATTGTTTACTTAAATCTAATTTATTTATATTCGATAAATTTAACATTGATAAATTTCCATTCATTAAACCAGGTATTGATAATGTTGATAAATGTGATGTAATAAATCGATTTTTTAATGTTTCTGGTAAATCTTTTAATATTAATTCAGTTTTACTAGGACGCATAGTAGCATGATGCATTTTTAATGCAATTTTTTCATAAATTTTTAACATTTTTTGATTATATACATCTGTATCACGTTGTAATAATTTACGTAAATATTGTTCATTAAAACGTTGTATTAAATCCCTTATAGCATTACGTCCTATAGTACCAATAAGACATTCAATACCAGCTAATGTTTCATCAATAATACTATCATTTAATGAATCAAATAAACTTAACATTTGTTTATTTTCCATACGTATACGTAATAATTTCACTAATGGTTTCATTGTAATACCCATAAAACCAACAGTAAATAATATAATAAATAATGTTGTTGTAATAATAAGTTCTCTATTATATATACCATTTACACCAAGTTTATTTGGTAAAATTAATACAGATAATGAGAATGCAACTGCACCACGTAAACCCCCATAAATTAATACAATTTGTTGTGTAAATGTAATTTGTGTATTAGATAATGATGTATAATTAACAATAGCAGTAATTAAAAAGACAACAATAGCACGTGCTATTAAGCACCATATTAAACCCCATAATATATAACCTGTATGCCATACTAATTTAATAGATACAACTTCAATACCTAAAAATAAAAATATTACTGATTCACTCATTTCTGATACAACTTTAGTTAAATTTCTAACCATTGTTATAGAATGTTTATCTAAATTATGAAATGCATATGCTGCTTGTATTAAACCACAACCAATCATTGATATAATCCCAGACCAACCAACACAATCAGCCATAATATATGAAAAATATGCTAATAATAATAAACTAAAAGCATTTAACCGACTTTTAATACGTGTTATTAAACATGTTATAATACCAAATAATAAACCAATTAATAAACCACCAAAACTTACAGTAAAAAATGATGCAATACCAATACCAATCTCTTTACCAGTTACAATATCTTTACCAGTAAATGCATCCATTATATCATATAATACAACAGTAACAGCATCATTTAATAATGATTCACCAAATACAATATAATATAAACCTAATTCAACACCAATATCTTGAAAAATAGCTAACACAGCAACAGGATCCACAGCAACAATTAATGAACTAAATAATAAAAATGCTTTAATATCCATATCTAATTGTGGTTGTCCGAAACCACCAATTTTATATATACCATACATAACAAAACCAATAATTAAAAAATTTAATATAGTACCAATCACAGCAAATATTAATACAACACTTAAATATTCACTAAATGTTCTATTATATAAACTATATGCTGATTCTAATACAATTGGAGGTAATAAATATGTAAAAAATAATACTGGTGTTAATTTCCATACAGTTTTATTATTAATACCTTGATCAATACCATAACGTACAATAGCACCAAATATAATACCAATAATAATTAATACAAATGATTCTGGTATATAAATTGATATATATGGTATACGATGATAGGCCATTTTAATTAATATCATTATTAATAGAAATACCATAACAGCAATATGAATTTCAAATTCATGAAATTCCCATTTAACTACAACAATTTCACTTTCAATAGGTTCATTATGATTAGTATTAGTATGATTATCAGGAATTGAATTTGTTTTATTTAGATTTATATATTGATTATGTTCTTGTTTACCATATATTGTATATAATAGAATAAAGATCAATAAGATTAGGGATAAATTAGGATAAATCATAATAGTAGATCCCAATAAGAAACAATACTTTCTATTCAATAGGAATAATGATACATGAAAGTGTGAATATAATGTAATAAAGATATTTGTATTAGAGATATAATTGTAATGTAATTGTAATCTATTCAAGTATACAATTAATTACAAATGTTCTATTCACAATGTTATAGTTGTTTACAATAGTAACATTGAGTTACATCTATATATATATATATATATATATAGGGTTGGCTTTATCTAATTTTTTGTTTCTTTCTTTTTTTCATTCATTCATTTATTTATTCATTTCGTTTCTCTTTTTTGGTTCTTTATTTAAGTCCTTTTTTGACATTAATTATTCTGTCTGTATGCATTCGGTAATATATTTCATAGGAATAATTTTTTTTTCTTGATTTGAATATCTTTTTTTCTATTATTTTTTGTATTTTCTTCGAAAAAACAAAACAAATAAAAACTGATTTTAAACTGTGTTATTGTTGTTTGTTTATAAAATTGACCAATCAAACAATGGAAAGTTGTATGATGAAATGTATACATATACATGTACATTTTTTTGTGTATACCTATCATTAATAAAGTTTATATAACATTTCAGTAGTTGAAATCATGAGCCAATTGAAACTAGACCACCATGAAAAACCTGGAGGCATTGGACGGCCATTTCATCTTAGTATGGGACTCTTCAGCAGTGCGCGTCCACGATCCCGCCCTCGCGAAATTCGAACCCAGGACCTTTCAATTTTCACAAAATCCCTTCTGATAATAATAATCTATTTATTAGTGACTGACTTCAATAGACACTCCTGGAGTTCTAGTGAGAAGCCGTTGCTAATGGAATTCAACCAGGTCTGTTGTGAGATATCAGCTCACTGAAGACAATGGTGTACGGTGGTGCGATTTCGTGGATTGGTGAAAGTTAGACAGTGCTTTCAGGTTTTACAAAATGGTCTAGATTACAGCGACTCATGAATTTAACTATAAAGTTATACAATACTGTTATTTTTTTAAATATATAATAAGAAGATAGATAGAGAGGGGGGAGAAGTTGTTACATGAATAAATTTGATTTTATTGAGCAGTTTATGAAAATTTATTTGATTAAAAAATTGGTAAAACAATAATTTGTGAACTAAGAGCAAATGAGGGCTATAAATTAGTATGAGGAATTAAGGTTAAAAATTAGATTTAGGTTTTTCATCAAGAACTGACATCATCTATCATGACAAGAATCTATTTACCCAAATGGATGAGTGAATTTCGCGCCAAAATCCGAGACCTGTAATCTTATACCTGATTGGTTTGCCCCTAAATTATAGTCTTGCCGAACAATCTTTTTCTTTATATAATGAACTGACATCAATTGAAGAACATCACTGAAATATGGAATTGAATATGTTAAAATTGATGTATTATGTGATCAACTAATAACTTTTATCAATGTTTCCATAAACTGATGTAAGGAGTTTTTGGAGATTAGTGAATTTGAAAATCAAGAAGTATTAAAAAGTTGATTCGTTCTTCTATATTACTGTTCAATAGTATTGTAGTGAATGAGAATACAAGTGGAGACAATCGAATATATTTGAATATAAAATTACAGAATGTCTTAGAAAAATCTGAGAACCATACAGTAAATACTTCATTTCCAAAATTTTCATTAATTGTCTCACACTTCATTGTTTTTGCATTTACATATTAATTGCTTTCCGTATCCCGTTATTTTCCCTTCGATCATCTCGACCTTCTGCTGACAGATATTCTATTCCTGACTAGCGTTATATACTAGTTATGTTGACATAAGTAGCACACAACACAGTATGTATACACAACTTCGTTTGGATAGATTCTCACTCAGTGGCTTATAACTTAAGCAATCACTGTTAATCCTGAGGATAATGTATCCAATCCACGGTAGGGCATTGATTCAAGTCATTTAGAAATCTTATAGTAAGATGAAATAAGCGACTGCTGTTCATTGGTTTTCTGGAGATATTTAATTAAGGTCAACCAGTAATGTAAACCATATTATAAATTGAATGAAGGTGTAAATGAGAAATATTTGTATCATGGATATGATCAGTTACACGATGATGATTGAGCATTTATGTAAAGTATCAAATTTGGATAAATTACTGATTTTTTTTGTGAATAAACTCAAAGTTATTTAGTTCTAAAAACTGTTGATCTATATTTTTTAACATGTACTTAAAGTAATATTATGGTGTGTGTGTGGGTGTACTACTGATGTCGAAATATATATCACAATTGATTGATCACTGGGTGACCAATGTCATGCTTGTCTAGTCCTTATTATTAGTGCAGATCGAATGCTATCGATCATGTTGCAATGTGGCCACCAGTCTAGGTGGCTCGACACCGCGGGCACTATTGTAAGGTTAGATGGTGGTTGGAGGTGGTCGATAGAAAACCCCGGACCGGGGTTTCGTGCTACTTGGCACTCGTCAGCAAGGTGTACCTGTAATCTTTGAGGGAACTGGTGTTCCCTGGCGTATTCGATCCCGTGTCACTCAGATTTCACAAAGTGATTCTGTAATTTTGTGTTCAGATACATTTGATTGTCCCTTTTTGTGTTCTCGTTCGCTACAATATAAGTGTGGATTTCTTTTCGAAGAAAGGAGTAGTAAATATCTACTTAAACTAGAAAGAAATGAATTCAGTTACCTGTTCAAACTATTCTGACCAAATTGACATTTCTCAGAAATTTTCTTGCTTAATATTTGTTTAAAATAATTAATTACTACAGCATTCATATATCACATAGATTGGATAATAATAATAAAACATGTGATTAGAGTAAGACTGTCTGTACATGGTTGAGGGAGAATGTATGAGAAGCAATTATTATTAGAATCCAGGAAGCACATTCTTTTGTGATGCGTGGTGTCCAAAATCTGGTACTGATACACGGTGTGCTACGCTCTAACCCTACCCCAAACTGACTACATGAGCGAGAACACAAGATTGAGAAAAAAATTGCATTGGAATACCGGATGAAATGCACAAATATTAATTCATTTATATACTACCCTATCCTTATTGTATTGACCTATTGACTCCAATGTAATGCACTTGAACTTTGGGTCACTTCTAATTGTCATGGATTGGTTTTTTGTTACTTCTAATTGGCCTGCCGTATCACATCTTTTCCTATTCGAATGCACTTGTATCCCAGTGTTGATTTTCACATTAGCACTTGAACTTGATACCTTGTGTTTTAAACTTCAAAACGTCATATACTGAGCTACTGAGTTTAGACAACCATTTACTGATGCAAGTAATGTGAGATTTCGATTTAAATCAATAAAGTAACATAATCATCCAAATTATTGCAAGCTGAAAAATATTTACGTATAAATATAACTACTACTTAATTACTGTATGAAGGAGCTTTTCTATATTATTTACAAGTTATATTCTTTTAAAGAAGAAATTTTACTGTAGTAATAATTCGACTTACAACAGAAACAATTATACTGTAAAACCGACGCATTCACAGATTAATAGTTCAGAATCATTACAAAAACTGTAAAACGTGATAGATGTTAATTAAGTGCTGGAAACATATTAAGTTTCAGCTAAATATTGAATGACAAATCTGTCATTGTCTTTAGTGAGTTACTATCTCATAAGAGACCGGTTGAACTGCACTGGTCACTGCTTTTCACTAGAACTCCAGGAAATATCTCTTGAAGCCTGTCACTAGTGAGAATATGTTGATTAGTGACAGAACGGGTTGTACAATGCTGAGGAGACCCATAATGGAACGAAACGGCCGTCTAGTGCTTTCAGGTTTTCCATGGTGGTTTAGCTTCAAATGGCTCATGATCTCAACTATTGAAATTATTATAATATCCATGAAACCACTTCTAACGCTTAATATTAAGTATTTGAAACTGTAGGTATCATTACCAAGGTTTGACATGATAATTTCGAATAAATTGAACATTGGGTAGATTGTTATAAATAAATGATATATTTGTAATATCTCAATGAGTAGAAAAATTAGATTTTCTGACGTCTCGTGACTTAGTGTAAGCCACTTCTTCAGAGAATAAATAACCAACACTGTCCTGAACAATTCTTTCCAGTTGCTGTTCATTCTTTTGATGTCCGCTTCCAATCCCAAACGCAATGCGTTCTTTGGTTTTTCTTTTTTCCCTTTTCCCTTCAGGATTTCAAGTAAGCACTTGTTTCTTGACGCAGTCTGATGATTTCCACAATCCATGTTCTATCCACCTTCGGTATATTTTCTCGATTTCCTCTCCACCTGGAAGTTCGTTTGTTCTCTCCCACAGTAGGTTGTTGCTAATGTTATCCGGTCAATGGACATTCAGTATCCTGAGTAGAAAATTGTTTATAAATACTTGTACAGTTTTGATGATGGTTGTTTTACTTTTTCAAGTTCCAGCTCCGTACAGTAGAACTGACTGCCTTTACGTTTGTATTAAAGAATCCGGCTTTGATGTTGGCCTAAAGACAGTTGTTTTGAATTGTAGAAATGCTGCCCTTGATTTCTTTATCATTCCCTTAACATCAACCATAACAATAGTAAATTTACGATGGTTAAAGTCATGGTTCAGTGAACTTTTGAATATCCAATGTTACATTTATTGTTACATATATTTAGACAAAAGAAATTAAAGACTTTCAAGAAAAGAAATTCACTGAATAATTTCCAAAGTCTAATGTTTCCCGCTTATCAATAGGATATTTGTTTTATCTATCGATTGATAAAACCTATTCATCATGTTAGCTTCATTAGGGAAAACTAGTGACTAATCTTTATTTAATTATCTTATTTATTAGTATGTTCCACCGAGTAAATCCTATATCACTGGATGAAATTACCCATTTTTCGTTGTCTTTATCAAAAAAGTACCTGTTTTGTATATCATAGTATCATTTATAAATCAAAGATGTTAACCACTTGTTGTAACACTATTACAAGCCACTAGTTCAAGTTACATTGTGTTGAGGAC